TGAGTATTAAAGCCGGAGTTGCTCCTATCACAAAGAAAGCTCTTTCTCCCTGGGAGATGGCAAGTGGTTCAGATTTCAGGAGAAAGAGAGAGAGGGAGAAAGATAAGGACTGGGGTTTTTCTTTCTTACTGGAAAGCAGAGCCTGGGGGTGGCGTTGCTTCATAGAGCCGCTGTCTCCCGTCCCAGGGAGCTGGCCGCTCTCTCCTCCCGGGTTAATATACATTGACTGGAGCTAAACGCCCGATGCTCTGGACAGAGTCCAGCCCCTCAGCCAGGCAGCCGCACCGTGGAGATACAGCTGCTGGCATTAAAGGGCTAAGCCCTTTCCAGCTGCTTTGCTTTAATGGGAGCCGCCTGCAGCCGCCAGCTTAGCGGAGCTGTCCTGGCCCGATTAGGAGGCGATGACTCATCTCCGCATCTTCCCAGACCCTGCTCTGGAAGCTTGGGAAGAATGCCGTGGTGGGCTGAGAGGGGCTGGGGCACACGGTGCCGAGTGCCAGCCCATCGTGGCCACGTAGGGCTCCCACCTTGGCCTGCTTTCTTTTGTTTGGCCTCTGTGGAAAAAAAAAAAAAAAAAAAAAACCCAGGGTGCTCTTCAGTGGGCTTGCGGGCGTTGAGAGAAAGGAGGTGCTCCCCGCCAGGGGAAGCCCACTACGGAGAAGCTGGGGCCACAGCAGACGTGTGGCATTGACACCCGCGGCTGATGGTGTCCGTCCCTTGACAGGAAGTGAGAAACTTGAATGTCCCCAGTATGAGCCGTCCTCTGGCTTCCCACTCCGCTTTTCATTAAAACCCAATCTAAAGAGCCAGGCTTTGAAGGAGAAATGATCATTTCATTGATTGTAAAGGTGTGCTTTAAAAATATGTTGTTAACATCTCTGGAACTGGGTCGGCTTATAATCGATGGCGCCTTACAAATGGAACGCGTGTCTCTCCTTACTTGGTGTCTAATCCAAACAATGGTGCAGCTTACAGTCGATGCCATTTGTGTTGAAAGTGTTCGCCGTCCACACGAGCCAGGCCATTGGCTGCCCCAGAAGTGCAGAGCCTGCCACTTTGCCAGGATCAGAGTGATATGGAAAAAGGGGTTTCCCCCCAAGTGTGAGGGAAGCCGAGTCTGCCGGCCCTGACCCCAGAGCCATCAGCTGTGACCCCTGAATCAGAAAGAGGGAGAGGCATCGTGAGTCAGTGACACAGTGGCAGCACAGGACATGTGAAGGGGAGGGGGTGCGGGTGCCAGCACCAAAGGGATCACGGGTAACTAATCGTCTGCTTGGGCAGGGATTGGCTGCGTGTATTGCAATCCTTTGTCCAGTTTTCTCACCAAATCCAGCATATCAGAAGGTGGTCTTGGCTCCCTGAAATGGGAAGACCATAATTTGGAGAGCAAAACAGCCAAAACACCAGTCTTGTAGGACAGAGAGGAAGGCCAGGGAAACCATTCCTTGAAATGAATCGATTAGGCTGGTACTGTGGCACAGTGGGTGAAGCCACCGCCTACAGTGCCGGCATCCCGTATGGGAACCGGTTCTAGTCCCAGCTGCTGCACTTCCAATCTAGCTCTCTACTGTGGCCTGGGAAAGCAGTAGAAGGTGGCCCAGGTCCTTAGGCACCTGCATCCACGTGGGAGACCCTGGAAGAAGCTCCTGGCTCTTGGCTTTGGATTGGCACAGCTTTGGCCATTGCAACCATCTGGGGTGTGAACTAGTGGATGTAGGACCTTTCTCTCTCTCACTCTCTCTCTGCCTCTGCCTCTCTGTAACTCTGACTTTCAAATAATAAACAAATAAATCTTTTTTTTTAAATGAGTTGATTGAAACATGATTTTGTTTAAGTTGGGGTGGAGACAAGTGTTCAACGAATTATAAAGTAAGCTGTTCAGAGGTGGGCAGAGTGGAGTGGGGGGTGGGGGGCTCAAAGCGGGGCTGGGGGAGGCAGCTCCGAGGCCCTGCCAGGAAAGGCAGCTATTCCCGAGCACAGGAAGCACCTTGAGCCTTGCTCCACAACCGGACACCCCCACTGCTGTCCTGTCCACGAGGGAGGGCCTCAGGGTCCTAGCTTCCCCTCTGGCCTGCTCTACCCCCCGCCAAGCCCTGCCGGCAGCTGCTGCTTTTCTGCCTTCCTGGGAGCTCTGAAACACCGTCTCTCATCCCCCCCTTTTTCTGCTCATTAACTGCAGTCTGGTGGTCAGTGCCCCCTCCCGTAAACCCCCTTTGCTGACCTGCCACGCCCCCCCCCCTCAGCTTTTGCTGTGAAGCCAGGAGTGGGTCTTGGCGTCGGCTGCCCCGGGCGGCACAGTGTGGTCGGACACTGCGTCTCCATCAGCCCTCACTGCGTCCCTCCCTGGCTTCCTCTGTGACATCGCGGGGGCCGGCAGGTTAAAATCCCTCAATACTAAGCCGTCTCCTCCCTGCGCCTGTTTGCTGCCCTCCCAGTGCTGCTCGGGAGCAGAGCTGCAGGCCCGGGGGCCCGAGGCCATCCCTTCCTGGACTCCGAGGAGTCTGCCCATCAGAAGGCCCATCAGCTGGTTCCCGATCACTTGGCCTCATTACAGGCCACGGCCATTCGGTCCCTGCCTCCCCTTGAGCTTGAACTTCCCCTTGAGCTCTGATGTCGGCTCCCTTTTTGTTTACTTAGGTTTCTCCTGAATTCCAAGTCCTAGAAGCCTCCTTTCCTTCCCTGAAGCTGCTCCCAGGCCAGCTCTCCCTGCTGTGACCACTCCAGGGCTGCACACCCAGAAAGCCCTCTACCCACCCCACCCCACCCTGAGACCCTCCCCCTCCCCCCTGCTCCTGCCCCCCATATACATGCTCACCCCAGGCTGGGCCTGCAGCGTGGAAACCATCCCTAATGACTCCGGCCTCCTTAATAACTGCAGGGGACACAGGGCTCAGGGCGGATGAAATGGAATCCACTGTGATGGGTACCCTAACACCAGCCACCGCTGTCCCAGTCCCGACTGTGTGACACGGGTGGTGCGAAGCACACACAGGCATCTCTGGCTGTTCTTCCAGCATCCTCACAAACAAGTCCATTTTCCAGATGAGGAAGGTTGAGGCACAAACCCCTAAGTAACTTGCACAGTTACTTGCTCAGCAAGTGCCTTGTCAGCCTCTGTTTGTTTATGGGGGTGGGGTTTGCTTGTCTTTTTAACCTTGGTACACAGAATCCTTTAGGTCAGAGTGACTTTCTTAGGCAAGCGAAGGTCTCTGAAGGCTTGATCTTCGTCTTCCTGGGTCCTCGGAGAGTGAAGGTCTCAGCCTGCTGCTCTCCTGCCTGGAGGCTGCAGGTTAAAGACCAACGGTGGGGGGTGGGAGCCGAGAGGGCTTCCTGCCAGCCGATCTGGGGCGCGTGCAGCCCGGGCACCAGTTCCACATCATCTGCTCCCGCTAAGACAATCAGCAACATAAAAGGCTAATTGTATTAATCACCAAGGCACAGGCCTGGCCCCTCCCCGTGGGGAGAATCATGAATTGCGATTGCAGATGGCTCCGCTGATGGAAGGCACTGCTCAGCAGGGAGCAGGGCCAGAGCAGATTACAAACCATTAATTAAAAACTTCCCGTGGCAAAAAACGGGAGGAAGGGAATGTGCACACCGCCCCCCACACCCCCGTGGCCTGCCCGGCTGGGCCTCTGTTCTCGCTGGGGCCGGGGGATTGTGATGGGGAGGTCTGGGTCCCCAGCCAGATCCGCCGAGGTTCCGCGGCCCAAAGGCCAGCCCTTCTCTCATCCAAACAGATGGCCGCTGTCCTAGGCGGGGGCTCCGGGGAAGGAGAAGCTGACCTTTGGTTCCTTATTGCGGCGGTAACCTTTGCTGCGCTTCAGCATCTAACCCAATTCCTCACTCTCGGGGAGCTTCCATCTCCCTTACAGAGGAGAGCCTCGAGGGGAAAAGGGTCCCAGCTGTCCCGGGCCCCGCCGCAGCCCTTTGTGCTGAAGGCGCTTTTCTGGACAAGTTGGTGCACGCCCAAATACCTGCCTGAGCACCCTCTTTCCAAGCCCCGCCTGGAAGCCTGGACTTCCAGAATTTTCCTCCTCTTGATCAATGGCTGCCTCTCCTCCCTCCCTAGCCTCCCAGCCTCAGTCATTCATTCATCAAACTTTTACTGAGCACCCAGTGTGCACTTGGCCCTGGCGATGCAGAGATGATTCGTCAAGGAGCTGAAGCGCCTGCTGCAGGAGCTGCCCAGTGCCCACACCCTGGTTTCCTGCTTCCTCCTGCGGTTGCAAAGCTTGCACAGGCCCCTCTGGAGCCCTGGTGTGGAAAATTCTACGCGGGAACTGCGGGGGGAGGGGGACCTTAGGAGCCTGGACAGCTGAGCTGGGTGACCTTTAGCAAGTCAGTGATATCCTCTCTCTGCACACGAACACACACATACACACATGCACACACACACACGCGCGCACACTCACATTGCCTGCTGCCCTTGCTCGTAAAAGGGCACCGAAAGCCCTGAGCTCTGAGGAGTAGTGAGGACGGATGCTGGGACCCAGCATGGAGGACCTGGGTGGCGCTCTACACTGGCAATGTGGCAGGATGCCTAGCACAACTGCTGGGGTCCCAGGCCCCCAGACTCAGCCCCTGCACTGGGCACGGGCTGGGGCAGCTACCCTGTGCTCTGCAGCTCCTCCCCCCACCCCAACCCCACTCCCGGCCCCAGCCCCTGGGGAAACATCATAGAAAAGGACCTATCTTTTGGATGGATTTGGTTGCTGCATCTCAGGGTGCCATGGTGACTGGCACCATAGAGATGAGCAGAACTGACTTTTATTGGCTTGGCTCCGCAGTCCCCAACCCCCCACCCACCGAGCGCCCAGGTCAGCAGACCCAGGAGAGGAGGAGGCAGGGTGCTTGATAAGTAGAAGCCAAGGAGATGAGAAAAACCCACTCCCCCCACCCTCTCAGTACAGCTCTCTCCCTCCTCCCACCCCTCGCCAATAACACTTGTATCAAACCCAAGAATTACAAGAAAATCATCATGGTAATTTATTGGTGGTTGTTATTCTACCATTTTCACTTCCAAAAGCATTTTTTTCTAATCTCTTGTTTGTTTCCACAGCAATTCCTAGGGGGAGGATTGTGTCCATTTTACAGCTGGGGAAGCGAGATCCAGATGGGACCCCAGCCCCAGGGTGGGGTAGATCCACAGCAGCCTTTAAGCCTTAACGGTGCAATTCCGCATCCTGCGCTCGAGGAAGTGCGTCTGGGGTCTTGGTTTCTGTGTCGCCCCCGTGGTTAAGCTTTACAGGGCTCCTGGTAGTGATGAGAACAGGGCTGGAAACAGCTCCTTCCTTCTTGGGCCTGAGTCCTGATCTGGGGGTTGGAGTGGAAGGGGGCCTCGCCTCTCCAGAAGGGTAGTGGGGTGGAGGGCGGGGCAGGCACTGGGGTGAGACCACTGTCCTGGATCCTGCAGGGTGGGACCTCCTGGGCATTTGGAGGGGTGAGGAGGAGCTTCTGGAACTGTAATCTCTGTACTCAGGAAGCCCCGAGCAGCTGAGGCCAGCGGGGATGGGGGAGGTGGAGTCCGGGCGGTGGGCGGGAAGCCCGCCCCTCCCTCAAGGGTTCCCCATATGGCTGAGAGCTGGGCTTCTTTTTTTTTTTTTTCCAAGATTTATTTATTTTATTTGAAAGGCAGAGTTGCAGAGAGAGAGAGAGAGAGAGAGAGAGAGAGAGAGAGAGAGAGAGGGAGAGGGAGAGAGAGAAAGAGGTCTTCCATCCACTGGTTCACTCCCCAGTTGGTTGCAACAGCTGGAGCTGTGCTGATCCGAAGCCAGGAACCAGGAGCTTCTTCTGGGTCTTCTTATGTGGGTGCAGGGGCCCAAGCACTTAGGCCATCTTCCACTGCTTCCCCAGGCCATAGCAGAGAGCTGGATCAGAAGTGGAGCAGCCAGGACTCAAACCGGCACCCATATGGGATGCCAGCGCCGCAGGCAGTGGCTTTATCTGCTATGCCACAGTGCCAGCCCCAAGCTGGGCTTCTTAAGGGCCTCTGTTCAGACTCTAATCAGAGTGGTTCCCCTGGCCCCAATTCCTTTTCCCTCAGGCCTTGGGGATCTGGAGGGCCCCCCGACTCTGCCAGGGTCTAGCTGCGTAGAGAAGAGGGGATGGCTCACGGAGTCCCCCTGCCTCCCTATGGACTGCCCCCCTGCTCTCTTGGGGTAAGGGTGAGCGCTTCCTTCCCCTCCCACCCTGCTAGGACAAAGGCCCACGCCTCCTCCCATGTCCCCCTCCTCAAACCCCCCTCTCCAGGGCCAGCTCCAGCCAGGTCGTGCACGGCACCCCCTTGGAAGCCCAAAGGCCGAGGGCTAGGCCGTGTCGCACACACTCAGCTCCGTGTCCCTTGAACTGGCCCGGGCTGCTGTTTCTCGTGTGCCCATGAAGATGGTCAGGCGCTCGGCCAGGGTCTTGGTATCAGGGAACAGGATAAAGTTGTAGATGAACGAAGCCAGAACAGCGCCCGTCAGGGGTCCCACCCAGAAGATCTATGGAGACAGAGACAGAAGGTGGCACCCCACCCAGGAGTTCTCAGGAGCATAGGGGCTTTGGGGGTCCCTGCCTGCTTCTCAAGTTCTGACGTGGTCTCCCAGGAACTCCCCAGCCATGCACAAGGTGATAAATTGAGAGCCTTCCATGCAGCCCGCCAGGGCCAGTCTCGCCCACTCCCACCTCCCCTCCCGCAGCCCCAGTTTTAGTCCCGAGTCTGTCTCGGCGGCAGCGTGTGGCTATTTCTGTGTGTCTTTTTCTATATCCAAGCTTGAAAAGTGGCCCAGCTGGAGATGGAAAACCTGGGCCAGGGCTAGCCAGTCCCCTGGGTGCCCTGGGATACTTAGCCCTGGGCGGGGGGCTGACTCACTCAGCCTTCCCAGTCTAGGGGGGTCCTCCCCACGCCAAAGCGGCTCAGGATGGCCTGGGGGCGCCGCTTATCTCCCCGAACCACACAGGGCCCTTTGCTGGCAAAACCCAGCCTTTACTGCCTACTGCCGTTAGGCGAGGTCTCTTCTTTCTCCCAAGCGGCCAGCGAGGGCCTCACCCAGTGCACGGTGAACTTTCCGACGACGACGGCAGGACCGAAGGAGCGGGCCGGGTTCATGGAGCAGCCGGTGAAGTAGAGCTGCGAGGAGACAGGGTGCTGTGGGGAGGCTCTGAGCCCGAAGCACAGAGTCCCAGACCCGCCGCACTGCACACCGCCGCCCCGGCCTCCCGCGCCGGACTTCCAGCACGTGCGCCTGCACGGCCTCGCTGCTGTCCTGTATTTACCCCAATGAGGTGGCCCACTGCCACAGAGGCCCCAATTATGGCAGCCGGGGAACCCGAGGCCTGGCGGCTGTCGGTGGAGGCGAAGACGCAGAGCACCAGCTGCAGGGTCAGAACCAGCTCCACCGCCACCGCCTGCCCGGTGGAGGCGTCATTCCGCACCTGGTGGAACCGGGACAGACGTGAGAGTGGGTGCGGGCTCCACCTGCGCAGCAGGACCGCTCCGCCCACCCCCGGGGGCGCCGGCGGGTGGGACGCAGGACCCTCGCAGAGCTGGAGCTGGAGGAGAGGGTTCAGGGAAGTAGAACTTAGACTGAAGAAGCGATCCCTGTGGCTTCTTCTCAGCTTTCTGACACCACAGTCCATTCCTATCCTACCCAGATAAGGCCAAGGTCAGGTTGCTCTGCGTGCCAGGGCCGGCTGTGAGCTGGTGTGGAGCCTGTGGCTGAACCGCTTTCTCCTTGCCTCCCTCTCCTCCGGCCTGGCACCCCACCCTTGCTTAAACTACCTCCCCTGGCCCCTGCCAGGTGTCCCCTGCCCATGCACCTGCCACTCGCCCCTCCCCCCGCTCCACCTACCATGTTGATGGCGAGGGTCTCTCGGATGTCTCCTGGAGTGACCCCGTAAAGCAGAGCGGCTCCCGCAGTGGCCCCCGCCAGCTGAGCCACCACGTAGGCCACAGCTCGGGGCAGAGAGATGTGTGAGCCCACGAGGAAGGCCAGCGTCACGGCGGGGTTGAGGTGGGCCCCGCTGGCCTTCCACGAGATCTGCACGACCATGGCCGTGGCCATGTTGAAGGTGATGGCAGTCTGCAGTACAGAGGGGAGTGCCGAGGGCCATTTCATGGCCGAGCCCACGCCAAAGAACACATACAGCCCCGTGGCCAGGAACTCAGCAAACAGCGCCCGGCTGATGGCCGCCCAGAGCGTGCATGCCAGCCTGTTTCCTGAGCAGCATGTCGCCGGCTCCATGTCTTGTGCCTTGCGTCTCAGCTGTCGCACTCTTGCTCCAGGGCCTCTGCTCTGTCCCCTGTGTCTCTGCCTGGCTCTAGCTCTGCGCACTTCTCTGGCCGTCCACCTGCCTCTCTTTCACCACATGGCTGTCGCGAGGAACGTGCTGCTCCCACGGGGACAGTAGGTTATGTACGCCTCGGTGGTGGTGTGAGGGGTGGTGCTGTGTGCCTGCTCCACTCTGAGCTCAGCTGACAGGACAGGGTGCAAGGACGGAGGTGGGATAAAGGGTGCTCTTGGGCGCTGAGCTGGAACCGTGCAGGAAGTTTTCCGAGCCTGGCTGAACCCGGCTCATGCGGCAGGTAGAGGTCTTGCCCCAGGGTTGCAGGTTCAGGGCACGGGAGCAGGGGGGAGACCTGGGGAGCATTGGATTTCCAGGGCGTTCTGTCCCCAAGGTCAGCTTAGATGGAGCAAGATCACTCATCCCAGGGGCTCCTGGGCTAGGTCCCCTCCTCCAGGCTCTGTCCCCAAATTGGCTGAGTGCTCTGAGCTCCTAAGATGTGAAATTGAAATCCTGCTCACAGAGAACAGAGCCCACAGCCCTCAGGATGTGGGCCTGGGGAGGGGGCAGCGGGGCAGACGGAGGAGGGGCTTATTCCACAGCTTCTCAAACTGGGTCAGCCCCTACCCATGGCAGCGGGCGCCTCTGCTGTCCAACGTGGGAACATCCAATGGCCTTCACTCTCCCTCCATCCCCCCGCCTCTCCCAGGGCTCTCTGGGCTTCTCCCCCCTCTCAGGACGGGGAGAGGGGAGAAATTCCTCTCATTTGGGAATCAGAGCAGCTTACCCACTTTTGGGCCATGCTGGCCCTGGGGTCAGCCTTGTCCTAGGCTCTCTCCTTGAGAAGACAGCAGCGCTGTAAGAACATCCACCTGGCCTCGCCTGCCCACAGGTGTCCCTGCTGTCCCCAGGCTCTTAGATGGGGCCCTCCCCTCTCCCGGCCCCCTCGGCGCTCCATGGGTGGCAGGCACCTGGGCAGCACCTGGGCCCTCCTCTCCCTCCGTCCCTGGTCCCATCCCAGTGTAAGTCCTGCTGATTTTGAATCCTAACGATTCCTTCTCTGTGCCCTCCTTGCCACCCCCGCCACCCTGCAGCCACAGCCAGCCTCTCTGCTCCCTTGCTCCGCTCCAATCAATTCTCCACACTGCAGCCCGAGTGATCTTTCTAAAATGCAAATCTGATCCTGCTGCTCCCTGGCTAAAATCCCTTCAAAGCCTCAGTCCCTCTGGAAACTCCACGCCTGGCTTACAAGGCCCTCTGCGATCCTCTTTCCCCTCCCCTCTCCCTGCTCCTCGCCTCACCCTTACCCATGGGGGTCTCCCCTCTTTTTTGGGGGGCCCTTTCCATGGGTAACTCCTATCCCATCCTAGGGTTCAGCTTCAAGGCCACTTGCTCATTCCCTGGGTGAGGACCCCCCCACTGCTGTGTGCACTGCAGTCACCCATGGGGGGCTTGTCCCAGTGTTAATGTGTCTCCCCAGTGTGACTGGAGCTGAGACCTATCCATTCCTTCGTGGAGTGTCTTGCATGGAGACTGGCCACAATGAGTGCCGGGGTAGCATTCACGGAATGAGGTCATGCGTGCATGAATGAAATTTCTTGACTTCCTGAAGGCAAATGACTTTTGTGTCAGCTTCATTTCAGCCTGTGATTCTTCTTTCTTTCTTTCTTTCTTTCTTTTTTTTTTTTTTTAAGATTTATTTGAAAGGCAGAAGGAGTGGGAAGAGAGAGAGGTCTTCCATCTGCTGGTTCATCCCCCAGGTGGCCGCAACAGCAGAAGCTGCGCTGATCCGAAGCCAGGAGCCAGGAGCTTCTTCCAGGTCCCCGACGTGGGTGCAGGGGCCCAAGGACTTGGCCATTTTCTGCTGCTTTCCCAGGTCACAGCAGAGAGCTGGATCAGAAGTGGAGCAGCCGGGACTTGAACCAGTGCCCATATGGGATGCCAGCACTGCAGGCATTGGCTTTACCCGCTATGCCACAGCGCCGGCCCCTTATTTTCTTTTAAATTATCTGTTTGACAGGCACAGAGGCAGAGATGGAGAGAGCTCTCATCTACTGGTTCACTCCCCAAATGCCTGCAACAGCTGAGGCTGAGTGGGCCAAGGCCAGGAGCCAGGTCTCCCACGTGGGTGGCAGGAACCCAATCGCTGCTTCCCAGCATCTGCACAGCAGGAAGCTGGAGTCAGGACCTGGAGGCGGGCTGTGTGGGATGCAGGCGTCTTATCTGGAACCTTAACAGCTGGGCCGCGCGCCTGCCCCTGGTCTGTGAGTCTCACAGCCTTATACCCACTCTCATCTGAGACTGAGCCCTCTGCCCCCTCCAGGTGAGACACCCCAACTCTGGGCCTCGGGTGCTTCCCATGTGCCCTCAGTTCTTGTCCAATCCTTTGCTCCTCCCCTTCTCCTCCTCCCGCTCCGCCAGCCTCACTGCACCTTTCCAGGAAAGCCCTTTGAGCTTGCTCTTGGCCGTGCCCCTCCCCTAAGAGCCCCCCCCCCCCAAGCTCCACTTTTTCCTGCACACCTCCCCCGCCCCATCTGCTCAGCTGCTGGAACTGCTGCTCTGACCGCCCGCTCCCCGGCCTCATCAGGGGTGGCGGCTCTGCTCAGCGACCCTCCCATCATCCCCAGTTGCCGCCCCCACACTTCATCCTCCCCCCTCCACTCCCCTCAAGTGCCCTGCTCACTCTGGCAGCCCCCCCCCTTGGAGAGCCTGGCAACCAGACTTCCTGTATCCTTTCTCCCCAGCCACAAATGCACCTGCAGCCCTCAACAGCGGCCCCTGAGTGTTGGAGAGGAGGTGGCTCTTCTCTGCATCCAAGTCTGAAGGGGAGGGCGACCCTTGTTCCTTGGCTTCCTAGGAGTGACTGGCACCCTCTAGAGGCCGTTGCCAGGCTCACCTGTGGCTCTTGTTCCTGGGACCCTCCAGGCCAAACACAGAGCAATGCAGAGTATGGTTTTGGAGTCCAGGGTACAGTCCCTCGCCATGGCACTGAGCTCTGGTTCTGCCTGCCCCTCCGCTCCCCGGGCCCTCGCCCTACCACGGCACTAAGCTGCTGGCCACCTCCTGCTCCTCCCACTGCACAGCCAGTCCCCCTATGCTCCACACAGGCCAGGCATTTGTAGTTCCCCGGAATGAGCTTTGGAGGTTCTGTGTGCAGGGCTTGGAACGCTCTCTTCCCTGTCTCTGTTTTAAGACTGCTCAAGCGCAACACCTCTAGGAAGCCTGCCGTGATTTCCTCCCTGGCAGGGTGAGGGCTAGCTGCAGGGAGAACTCAGGCTCGAGCAAGGCCAGGGGCTAGCTGTGGCCTCTGCTTCCTCCATGGCCCGCCTCCCACCCTGTGAAGGGAATGACGGGGTGTGGCTGTGGGGGCGCCCTTTCCCCTGCCTGGAGGCTATGCCCCTGTACCCCAGGGGTACTTCTCCCCCTCCTTCCCCACACACAAGGAGTGGGCTGGAGTGCAGACCCTCAGCACTCCCTCCCTGGCCCAATTCCTGTCTCTTGCCAGCTCCTGCTAAGACAAGCCAACATATTTTGTTTGTTTTTTAAAGATTTATTTATTTGAAAGGCACAGTTACAGAGAGGCAGAGGCAAAGAGAGAGAGAGAGGTCTTCCATCCGCTGGTCCACTCCCCAATTGGCCACAATGGCTGGAGCTGCGCCGATCTGAAGCCAGGAGCCAGGAGCTTCCTTCAGGTCTCCCACGTGGGTGCAGGGGCCCAAGGACTTGGGTCATCTTCTACTGCTATCCCAGGCCAGAGCAGAGAGCTGGATCAGAAGTGGAGCAATTGGGACTCGAACCGGCGCCCATGTAGGATGCCAGCACTGCAGATGGTGGCTTCACCCTCTGTGCCACAGCGCCAGCTCCAAGCCAACATGTTTTGAATACTGTTGTGTGTACAGTTGCTTCAGTTCTGTGACCACTGAAGCCCCATGTATAAGAGGGGCTGTTAACGACAGCTTCCTGTGTGTTAGCAGTCAGCATGCTTCCAAGTCAGAAAACTGAGTGTCAGATGCCACCCCCCCAATACCCACACCCATACACACACACAGCCGGGCGGCGGGACTGGGCGGGCATAGGACAGGCTGTGGCAGCACCTGCACCCCTGCTCCAGGCCCTGGGGGGCCCAAGAGCATTCAGTGCGGCCACAGCTCTTGTCCCCAGCTAGCCTGCTGGATGGAGCAGGGCCTCCGTGCGCCCCGCCTGGCCTGGGACAAGGTCCTTCACCCTCCAGGCCTGTCTTCTCCACCTACACCGCCAACGTCTGCCTCTCCTCCATCTCCCCATCACTGTCCCCAGTGGCAATCATGGGGGAGAGGCAGACAGGAGGTGTGTGGGGGGGGGGCGCCTCTGGGGTTCCGTCTGCAGGTGGAGCTCAGACTCAACTACGGGACTGTCCCGTGTGCCTCCTTGAGCACGTGTGGGGCCAGGCACGGATGCATCACAGATGGCCCGTGCGCTCGCTAGACCTGAAGGTCGTTGCGCAGCTCGGAGACCCGGAGACCAGCAGGGTCGGGGTGTGCTGGCGTGCACTGGGCTCCGCGCTCGCAGCCCCATGGCTCAGGGAGCTCAGATACTAAGGCCGCAGCGCCCCCTGCTGGCCACGTGTCCGCCCACAGCTCGGCTGCACCTTCGCCTAATGGGCCAGCAGGGTTCATTGGCAGGAAGCAGGGTCTGTGGCCCGTGAGCCCGCTGTTCACCCTCAGGGGCTTGGGCACGCTTCCCCTGGGGGCCGTCAGAGAAAAGGAAGCGAGGCCAACCTCCCGGTCCTCTGTATCCGGGTCTTACAGAACCTGAGGGGGAAAGGCTCCCCTGTCTTCCGCACCCCAACTAGGCTGCACCCTGCTGGCCCCAGGGCACCTGAGTCTGAAGCGCTCACTCCCCGTGCTCTCCCTCCCGGTCCCCCTTCCCACTAGAGCGCTCCAAGACCCGCGCGGGGAGGCGCCGCGGTGTGGATTCGGTGGCCGAGGGCCCCCTCTGCTGGCCAGCGCTGGCCCTTGCAGCCAGCTCTCCATCCCGGGGCAGCCTAGGGGGCCTTGGGCGGGTGAGGTGGGCACGATAGGGGAGGGGGGCTGCTGCCCCCTACCGTTCGGCGTAAGCTGTAAGAACACGATGCGGCCCGGGTAGATGGGGGAGGGGCTGCCACATGAAGCTAAAGTGCAGGCGGAGGTGACAGAGCAGCAGCGGCTCAGGTCTCTGGGCAGGTGTGTGTCCATGGGCGTCCTTGTGCACCGCTCTACTGAGTCCTCACTCTCAGTGCCTGGCTGTGATTGCACAGTGTTTATGCCACCCCCCCAACCTACACACACACACACACACACCGGGGCCATTCTCATTTTCTCCCAACAACCCGCGAGGCAGATTGAAAGTACTCTCACTGTGCAGACAAGATCGTGAAAGCTCAGAGCGCTCATATTACACAAAGGGCAGTGTGTGAAGCCCCTGCACCCACATGGGAGACCCGGATGAAGCTCCTGGCTCCTGGCTTGGGCTTGGCTCAGCCCTGGCCATTGCAGCCATTTGGGGGAGTGAACCAGCAGGTGGAAGATCTCTCTCTCACTCTCAACTACCTTGCAAATAGATAGATCTTCAAATCTATGGACTCCAAGCAGCTTCCTTAACCATGACGCTTAGGCTGTGTGCTGAACTGCTTGCGTGTGTGACTTCTGCCCTTTCTCAGGTACACCTGGCCCGTCCATCCGGGCACCTCAGACCCTCATCCCAGCTGCCCTTCACAGCCACCCTGGGAGAGCATTATTTAGCCACGTCTCGCAGATCAGGCAATGGAGGCTCGCCCAGGTTAAGGACACGGCAGGCAGAGGCAGGAGAGGGGAACCCTGGGAAAGGCCAGGGCCGGGCTGGGCTGGGGGCTGGGGCTTCTGCCTCTGCCCGAGGCTCCCAGCCGGGTGTCTCTGCAACTCTGAGGTGTAAAGACGTGCGCCCAGGTTTTGCACACTGTCTCCGTGATGGCAGCCAGCTGGTCACCTCCTTGGCATCTCAAGGGGCTGTGGCTCGTTCTCATCTCCACCCTGCCTGGCACACCCTGGCTCTGGGGCCAGGCCCTCCTCAGGTGGCAGGGCCCTGCCACAGCCGAGGGGAAGGGTGGTTCAGGGTGGGGCTTCCCCCACCCCTACCCGCACCCCGGTCTCTAGTTCCACTTCTGTATTCCGTCTTCTCTCGCTTCTCCCTCTCTCCTCCCGTGACCTCTCTGGTTCTCTAGGTCTCTCCTGCCTCATCTTCCTTTCTTCCCATTCAGGACTTGTCCTGCAGCTCCCTGGAGGAGCCTGGGGGTAGGCTGGGGGGATGATGGGGAGAGGGTGGGGTGACCCAGAGCAGAGGTGATGGCCGCAAGCCCCCGAGAAGAGGCTGCTGGGGAGAGGTGACATGGAACGTGAACATCAGTGGTTTATTGGGAAGCCCCCAACCCCACCCCCAGCAGCCCCACCCCATGCGTCTCCAACCAGAAATAAATAAGGTGGTACCAGCAGTGGATGAGGGTGCGCCTTGGCCACCTAGGGCTCTGGCTCTTATGGGGAGGTGGGGGCGCACACTGCAGGCTGCCCCTTCCCGGCCCAGCCTTGAGCCACCTGCAAGCTTGGCACGGCGTTCGCATCTCTAAGGTCTGATCTCATGACAGGCGCCCTGTCCCCCGGAGAAACCCCTCCCCACCAAGCCCTAGCCCCCTGGCCCCAGCCCCAGAGTCCCTCCACGGTTTCCTGCTCCCTTGGCTCACTGTGCAGCCTGGGGAGGAGCCAGCACCTCCTCCTCAGCTGAGAGGAGCAGCTGGGGGAGGGGGAGCCTTGCTGTCCTGGTTGTGTTCTTTCTTCGCCTCCGCGGTTCCAGGCTAGAGGGGCCCAACGCTGCGCTGCTCAGCGGCTGGTCAGCTCCAGGGTCTTCTCCCTGTGCTCTTCCCAATCCTCCTCCGGCTCATAGGAGCCCTTGACGACGGCCACGCGCTCGCTGAGGCTCAGGGAAGTGGGGAAGAGCAGGTAGAAGTAGAGGATGGCGGCCAGGATGGCCCCCACGATGGGACCCACCCAGAAGACCTAGTGGAGACAGGGTGGTGGTCCCAGGCTTCAGAGAGCTGCCCCCCAAGAGGGACAGGCAGGCTGGCGCCCACTCCCCACCGACAGACATGTGGATACCCCCCCAGGCCCGGGCCCTCAAGGGGCAGGCACCCGGGGCAGGCACCCTCCCACCCCACTAAGAGAGACAAGTGGACCTGCCCAGGCCACAGATGACGTTTGGACACTCTGAGAGACAGACGGACAGAATTCCTCCCCCCTCCCCGCACAGACAGAGAGACTCAGACCCTGCAGGGAGTGATCAGCTCTCTCCCAGAGGTGACAGACCCCAGAGACGCTCTCCCAACCCCTCCGCAGGGTGCACCATGAAGCATCAGCACAGACAGACACCCAGACACCCCGAGAAAGAGACTGTGTACACATGTACGCATGGGGGTGCTCACAGCAAGTCAGCTCGGATGCCCCCTAGGTATGCATGGGGGAAACACAGCTCCCCGTCCCAGTGCCCAGCCCTGCCCCTGCTGGCTGCCTCCTGTCCCCTGGGGCCCACCCCCAAGCTCTAGGCCATGGGACCCAGAGAGCCTGGCTGCCAGGGGCGGGCAGGACTCACCCAGTGCGAGGGGCTGAAGCGCTTCATCACTACAGCCGGGCCGAATGAGCGGGCTGGGTTCATGGAGCAGCCGGTGAAGTAGATCTGAATGGGGAGAGGCAGCGGTGAGCAGGTGGTAGCCAGGGTTGGGCTCGGGCCCCAACCCCCAGCTCTCCTCTCTTCTCTCTGTCCTGGATATGGCCTTGAGCCCCCTGGCCCTCCCCTCCACACTTACGCCCACCTTTCCTCAGCCCAGCAAAGGGCCTGGGGATCTCAACCTTGGACTTGGCAGTCTGGAGGGGACGCCATTCCCGGGTCTCCCGGAACCCCAGCCGCCTGTCATCACCACTCACCCCCACAAGGTGGCCCAGGGTGACAGAGAGGCCGATGGACAGGGCCGGGGAGCCCACAGGGCTGGTGCGGCGTGAGTCGGTGGAAGAGAAAATGCATAGCGCCAGCTGGAAGGTGAGGATCAACTCCACCACCACGGCCTGGCCCGGTGTCGTGTTGTTGTTGAGCTGCAACGGGAAGGCGTGTTAGGGCCCCTGCCGCCTTCTGCTCCCAGGGTCGGTGCTTGGGAAGCGGGGCTTTTGGCCTGCGAGGACACCAAAGGCTTGGGCACCCGGGAGCCAAGTCCTGCGCATGTCCTGGAAAAGTCGTTTGCTGGAGACACAAGGCACTTTACAGATTGCATGAGCTGGAAGCCTGGGCCTGTGTCCAGGGGGCCGTGTCAGGGGAGCTGTTCCTGCATACGGTCTTGTCAATGGCTCTGCCGTCCCCAACCCCAACACCCAGGCATTTACCCTCCCTCCCGTGGGCAGCTGCCCAGTTTGCCTACTGCAGACTGCCCCCAGCCTCCTGCCCGTGCCAACTTCAAACCCGTCTCTCCAGTGTGGCTGACTCACGGCCTGACAATGGCCACAAAAATCCTCCTCTGTGTTTGATTAATGAACCCAGTTTGCATGGGACTTGGAGGGGACTGAAATCCAGGGCTGCTGGGTGAGGGGGCAAGGCAGTGGGGGCAGGGGGAGGGGCAGGGAAAGGGGGAGCCATGACTCAATAGGCATCACATTAGGGGCTCCCATCCCAGGTCCCATGACACCTGCTGTGGCAGGTGTGTAACCATCCCTGAAGACCGGCTGAGAAAAATGAAACACAGTCATGATCACACAGAGCCCGGACCGCAACCCACTAGCTGGGGGCACAGCCGGTTGGAGGGGGGGGGGGTCTCGCCAGCCTTACTCTGGAGAGGCCTCGAACTTTCCAAAGGAGTGTGTGTGCCCCAGGTGGGCCTCCCCGCTACAGCCCGTCCACTCCCCAGATGGGACACAGAGGCCCCTGTCCCTTGGCGCCCGGCACTCACCGCGTTGACAGCCAGGTTGCCCCGGGCATTGAGCGGCGCCAGTCCGTAGAGGATGCCAGCACCAGCGATGGCGCCCACCAGCTGGGCGGCCACGTAGAAGACGGCCCGCAGCAGCGAGATCTGGTTGCCCACGAGCAGGGCCAGGGTGATGGCCGGGTTGATGTGGCCGCCGCTCACCGGCCCCAGAGCCTGCGCCAAGGTGCCGATGGCCAGGCCGAATGCCAGCGCGATTTGCAGAATGGAGGGCAGCGCCGACGGCCACTTGAGCGCCGAGCCCAGGCCGAAGAAGACAAAGATGAGGGTGGCCAGGAACTCGGCAAACACGGCCTTGAGGAAGGCCACGGAGCACACCTCCTTCTTCATGGTGGCCGCGGGCCCCTGGTGGCGGCGGCGGCGGCGGCGGTGGCGGGGGGCGGCGGCCGTCGGGGCGGCGGGGGGCGTCCGGCTGCGCGGCGGCGCGCGCTCTGGGGCGCCCTCTCCGCGGCAGGCGGCCTGGCGAGGGCCGGGCGGGGGCGCGCTATATAGGGGGCGGGCGGCCGGAGGCGGCGGCAGCGGCGCGGGCGCGGGGGGGCAGGGGGCGGCCCCGGCGCCCGGGGGCCACCGCAGAGCGCAGGGAGGGGCGCGCGCGGCCGCCGCGGGCTCGCAGCTGCCCCCAGCCCCGCGCGTCCCCGCGCCGGGGCAGCGGGCCACCCGCCCGGGCCACGTGACCCAGACAGGAGCGGTGTAGACCGGCCCCGCGCCCGGGGTCCCGCGCATGGCGCGCTGGGGGTGCCTTCCGTGCTGGCTCCCGCGCCGTGCGCGATGCGCTCCGCGGGAGACTGGGCGCCGTCTGCGCTGCTGTCCGGCGGCTACCTCGGCTGGTGCTGGACCTCCGTCCGTGGTCTTCGCCTTTTCTTTTCTTTGCGCCCGTGTTCCAACTCCTCCTTTTCCTCCTGCGACCCGAGCATCCTGACCTGGCCTCACCCCCGGCTGGGCCGGAGTGATGCAGCTCCCTGAGGCCCGCGCCACTCAACTCGAGGGCGGCCGGCGGCGGGGGCGGCGGGGCGGTCCAGTCGTCGCGGACTCGGCCCGGCCCGGCCCGGCCCGGAGCGGCGCGGCCAACGCGGAGGCGTTTTTGCAGAGTGGGACGTGTGCCAGCCTGGCCCGGCGCTGAGCAATCCTCGACGCCCAGGAGCTCGGCAGTACCCGGGGGCGCCTGGCCCGGGGTGGGGGTCCTCCCAGCACGGCCAAGGGGTGCGCGCTGGGGCGGGGAGCTGGAGACCGAGGATTTCCCTTGCCCGCAGGACGGGCTGGGGCTGGGATCGGGGAACAGACCTGGGGACCTGCGGGCGGGAGCGATTTGGGGAGGGCAGAGGCCGGCAGCCCCCACTCTGAATCTCAGGTTTCCTCCTAGTCTCGATTTCTCTCGGCTCCTCTTCCTTGCAGCCCTCACACGGGCTGCCAGTCTCTGTAAGTTCTCTGTGTCTTGCTCGCTCGTTTTCTCTGCCTTTTCCTTTTTTTTTTTTTTAAGATTTTATTTTATTTTATTTGAAAGGCACACGGCAGAGAGAGAGAGGAGGGGGTTGGATCTTCCATCCACTGGGTCACTCCCCCTGATAGCCACAACCGTGGGAGCTGCGCGCCATCTTCTGGGTCTCCTATGTGGGTGCAGGGGCCCAAGGACTTGGGTTATCTACTGCTTTTCCCAGGCCATAGCAGGGAGCTGGATAGGAAGAGGAGCAGCCGGGACTCGAACCCTGCGCCCATATGGGAGGCCGGCAGTGCAGGTGGCAGCTTTAACCACTATACCACATTGCTGGCCCCAGCCCTAGTCTGTTTTTATCTTTCTTCATCTCTCAGTTGCTATCTGTTCTCTCACTGTTCCTCTGTCTCTTTTAGTTGCTGTTCCTTGTCAGTTTCTCTGTCTCTGCCTCATCTTCCATGCCTGTCTTGTGGTCTTTTTCAGTCCACCCCCCCCCCCAAGTCAGATCCTCCCACCGGTGGGCTGGGTGATGCTCTCTCCCAGTTCCCCAGCCCCCTCCCTCTGAGCACCCAGCCCCTCTCTAGCCCGCCTGGCTCCTCTGCTCTCCAGTTTGGCATGTAGGGAATGAGGCTGGAGGGCTCTCCAGGGCTTACAGGGAAGGGCCAGGACCCACCCTGCCTCTCCTGCGATGGGGGCCGCACCCACGGCTTGCCCCGTGTGTGTGTGTGTGTGTGTGTGTGTGTGTGAGAAGCACTCAGCCTGGCACAGCACTCAGCTGAGCCCTCTCCTGTTGTGACAGTATGTGACAAAGCCCCCCTGAGGGTTGGAGCCAGAGGGTGCAGCAGAGAGACAGCAGGTGCCTCTGCCTGATACGGAAAGGAAAGCCAGGGACCTGGGGAATTGGGCTCTGGGCTCAGCTCCGTGGCAGCTAAGTGGCCAAAGAAAACAGGTGGCCAGAGAAACCCCACTATTGTTCCCCATTTCCTGCTAGGCTGGCTCCTCCCCCTGGCCTCTCCGCCTTAGGGCCTTAGGTCTGTCCTTTCTTCCTCCGGTCCAGAGCCCTGCCCCTAGCACAGTACCACGACTGTACACAGGATTCTCTCGGAGGCTTGGGGCTCAGGCTGGACATGACCTTGATGGGCTTAGGGGCCCTCAGAGAGACAGGCTTCTTCACAGCTGAACCTGCCTCCAGCCCGCACCCTTCCACTTTCTTTCTCATCGTGTTGCCCTCAAGGAGCACTCTCCGTGAATTCACGGCTCTGGGACTCCATCATTTGGGGTCGAAAGGACCCAGAGGTGCTCACAGCAGGTGGGGCCAACCAGGGGAAGCTTTGACCTGAGGATTTGTCCCTTGCAGCTTCAAGGCCTGGTGCTTGCTTGCCGCTTTATACATTCCCAATATACTCCATAAAAGGTATCAACTGTACTAGGCCTGCCTGTGAGATTTAATTGCAAGGAGACATAGACTCAGAGGGTACTTGCCCAGGATTGCACAGTGACCTGACCAGAGATTTGTGCATTGCCAGGCAGACCGGGAGGGAGTAAGCCGGAGGAGGCCAGAGGAGCACCCACAAGAGCACCCGTCAAGAGCACCCACAAGGGGCAGCTGATTCGCTTTCCCAGACTGCACACGCAGGCCCTTGCAGCTCTGCCAGTCATCAGGGCCACTCTGTGCCCAGGTTATCGCAGGAAAATGCTGGAGCTCTTGTGTCCTGGAAGTGTCTCCCCACCCCCAGCCCCCCAGGCACTCAGGCTGTGGCCTGCCAGCTCCAGGGGAACACTAGCCTGCGGCCGTTCTCCTAGGGGCTAGGAGCTGCTGGGGAGAGCCCCTTCCGTTCCTGTCCTGAACGAGGGGTCTCGGGATCTTCCGGGAGAAGTTGTGGAAGGAAACAGCACTGGTTGGCAAATGAGCATTTATTGAGTGCTTACTATATGCAGAGCACTGTGATAGGAAAGATCCAGGCAAAAGCTACCCCCCCCCCCAACCAAAGGGCTTACACTGTGGCTGGGAGGGAGGCATCGTATATACACACATCACAGCTTAAAGACACAAACCAGCATGTAACATTTGCAGGTGCAAAGTCATTTGGCACAAACTGGGGATGTGGGCGTGGATGCTGTCAGAACCTTGCGGTCAGTCACCTCCCCCTCTCAGCGTGGGGACTCCTCTGTCCCCAGCTTGGGGACCCGGAGGCCTGTCCACCTGCCTTCTGCCTGGTTTGGGATGTGGCTGGGGCCACCTTCCTGAGTGCTCTTCAAGAGCAGAAACCAGTCCTGGGTTTCGTTTTTTTTTCTCCTTTTTTTGTTTGCTTGTCATGTTCTCCCTGCTCTTCTGCCACCCTCTGTGTCCCCCACAAGATACTGGCTGGGGTGGGCTGGACAGGCCTAACCTTGTGTTCTGTTTCTGCCAGGTGCTCCCAGGAGAAGCCCACGACTTGCCTTCGTGGCAAGATCATGGGATTTTTGCAGAAGGAGACTTGGGTTTAAGTCTTGGCTCTGGTATACAGCAGCTATGTGATGCCGGGTCCTCTTAGTCTAGTTTCTATCAAATACAAAGGACAATATTTGCTCTGCTGGCCTCCCAGAGTGAGTAGTTAATCACGGGATGATAAGGGAGTGCTTTGGAAATAGCAAAACCCTTGACCTTCCCCCACTTCGAGAATTAGTTGAGCTAATTCGTGGAAGGCACCTGCCAAGTGTGACCCTGACTCTCCATTTTTCCCCACTCCCGTCATTTAGCATTTTCCTTTAACCTTGACCACACCTGGGCTACAAGGGTTGGAAGTGGTGGGACTCTCACATTTAGTTTGTGGGGAGGTGCAGCCCAGGAAGTGGAACAGAAATAGCCACACATTTCTTGGAACCTCTTGGATCTTTGTTGGTGCCAGGGGGTGGCAGTGAGGTGCCCCGAGACACATAGAGACGGGCTGAAAGACACTTGGCTACTGAGAGGACAGCCCCAGAGGTCACCGAGGCCTCTGGCTCCACCCCCCTGCAGCTGTCACTGGCCGCGGAGGGTGGGACAGAGTGGCTGGGCCTGGGTGGTAGCAGGAGTCAGTGCGGGCTCAGGGCAAGGAGAGGCCCAGAGGTGTCTGCCTGGACCTTGGGACATCCAAGGTTCACCTTTGCTTTGACCTCCAAAGAAAGATTAAGGAGGTGGAGGGTCAGGCTCCTTCTACATCCTCCCCCGCGCCCCAGGAAGCAGAAATAATGAAAATGAGCCTAATAATGCGTGATAATGGCATTAGGAATTAGAGTTCACACAGCCTCTTTACGTGCATCATCTCACCTAATCCCAGATAATCGCATTTGAGAACCACTGCGCTGCCCAGAAACTCGCAAGCCTGGGTTCTAGACGCAGCCCTGCCACTGTGTGACAAGGCTCTGATCCTGTCCACAGTAGCTGTTCAGTGCTGGGAGCCAGAGCGGGTCTGGCGGAGGAGGACCTGCCGGCTGTGGGGGGAGGGGGCGAGAGTGACCGGGAGATGGGCAGGTGTTGCCTGGTGCCCATGGCTGCATGCCTGAGTGCCTTGCCCAGCCAGCCATAGGTGTGTGCTGGACGAAAGGGTTCACTTGCGAAACCGCGTGTCTGCTTTCAAGAAGTGTCTAGTTGCAAATCTCCCCTCTCCGAAGACAAAAGGCCAGGGGCCCATGAAGGGCGTTCCTTTTTCTCTGCCAAAACGGGAAGCTAATCTCTGAGTCTGGGGCTGGGCTGAGGCGGGGGTCCCGGGCATGCGCAGGCCTGCTGCTCTTTCTGGAAAGACCTCCCTCTGGGTAGCAGGGAAATCCATGGCCGCTCCGAGGCCTGTTTTCTGCTTGACACCTCTCTGCCTCCATCCAGTGTCCTTGCTAGTCTTGGTGGTGGTGTGGTGGAGGGGTGTTGGCCCAGGGCTGCAGCTTGGGGAACTTTTTGATGCGGGCAGGGTAGGAGTTGGAAGCAGACCCCTCTCCAGGTCTGAGGGCTGCATGGCGCAGAGCACCCCCCCAACTCCCGCAGAGGGAGTGGATTTATTGCAGGTGTATGTTGAGGGGCAGGGAAACAGAAGGGTGAGTGAGAAGTCTGCTAGTGACACCTGCTTGAGGTCGGAGGCGCGGGGGAGAACACGCAGACACGTGCACACACACACATGTGCACACCAGCAAAATCCAGCGCCCCTCCCTCCCACGGGGGGGTTCTGTGTATTCCTCGCCAGCGCCTGGGTGCAGGCCTGCCTACCTTCCCTCTGTCTCTCCCTAGCTCAGCCCCCTGTCCTCCGCCAGCAGTCAAGGGTAGCCAATGGGCCGCCCCAGCCTCAGGGCAGGGGCTCTGCGGGAGTGTGTGTGTGGGGGGCTCCCCGCTACCCTTGAGACCCTGAGACCCCCGAGGCCAGGGCTGTGGCGCATGTTGCAAGCGACTGCTCTGCGCTGGGGTCAACTTCGGACTGGGAGGGCTGGGCTGGCGGAGGGGCGCGCTCAGGCCTTGCTGCCCCGCGGCGGGCTCTGCGGCGAGTGCAGCTCCACCGACTGCCGCCGCCGCACCTCGCGCTCCTCCCAGTCGGCGTCCGGCTCCAGCCCCTTGAGCACCGCCAGACGCTCCGACAGGCTCTTGGCCGAGGGGAAGAGTACGTAGTTGTAGATCAGCGAGCCCAGGATGGCGCCAACCAGGGGTCCGACCCAGAAGACCTGCGGGCGAGCAGAGAGGGGACTGGCAGCGCGCGGGGAGCAAAGGGGACCCCCTCCCGCCGCCCCGCCTGCCGCCGCCGCCACGCACCGGGTGGTGAGGGTGCGGGGTCCTGGATGCGCTGCCTGCGTCGAACTCTGATGCCAGCCCTTTACTTGGCCTCTCTGAGCCTGTTTGCTTTCACTGAAACAGTGCCTGCCTCCTAGGATGGTCGTGAAATGGCTCAACAGCAGCAAAGTGCTTAGAAGAAGGCGCCGCACAAGCTCAGAACCGCGTGCGTGCTCATCAGTCTAAGAGCCGCTGTCTGCTGAGCTCCTGGCGCCGGGCACCCTGTTACCCAGGCAGCCTAACTCAATTTCCCCAAGAGCTGGTGAGGTGCCCACTTGTCACGCTGTGGAAACGGGGTCTGAAAGGCCGACCCCAGGAGGAGGAGGAGGAGGAGGGTTGGGGCACTGCAGCAGCTGAACCCCTCCCCCCACCCCTTCCAGCCCTTATTCCCCTCTGAAATGGGTTTCTGGGGAAGGGGCAAGGGAGGTGGTTTTTGGCATTACCCAGTGGTCATCAAACTTGCCGGTGATGACAGCGGGGGCCAGGGAGCGGGCAGGGTTCATGGAGCAGCCGGTGTAGTAGATCTGTCATGGGAAGAGGGGGTGTCAAGGAGAGTGAGGTGAGATGGGCCCAGGGGGGTGCCTCCCTTTCCAAAGCCTTTAGGGTATATGGAGTCAAGCCCTCCAGGCCATCTGTCCCTCTGGGGTTCTGTGTAGGGCTGTGACCTACCCCGAGGAGGTGGCCCAGGGTCACCGAGAGGCCAATGGAAAGGGCAGGGGTGCCCACGTTGTCGCTGCGGCGATCGTCGGTGGAGGCAAAGATGCAGAGCACCAGCTGCAGCGTCAGGAAGAGCTCCACGGTCACGGCCTGCCCAGCTGTGGCGTTGTTGCTGAGCTGGGGACAGAGGGGGGGGGCAGGCTGAGCACGCTCCCCCTCCACCTCTTGCCCCCACCTTGCTGCCCACCTGCAGCAGAGGCTCCAGGGAGGCCTCTGGGCTGGGAGCCAGAACACCTGGGCTGGCCTCCCGATGCCTTCTTCCTGGGCCCCTGCCTTTGGTGAGACGCCAGGGCTGCCTGTGGTCCCCAGGCCAGAGGTGGGAAAACTGACTGCCCGGCCCCTTAGGTCTGGGCGCGGACCCTGTGCCTGCGTCTGCAGCATGAGCGCAGAAGCGTGCTCAGATGTGGTTTTGCTTTCTGAAGAACAAGAAGGGAAGAGGTTTCCATGGCTGCAGGGGGCTTTGGACAGGGACAGGAGGGCCCTCCTTGCTCCCTAGTTGGAAGACACTGGGGCAGCCAGAGGCCTGGAGTCTTTTTTTTTTTTCCTGTGGCCAAAGGGCTCCCAGGAAGGCGGTCCAGGAACTTGGGAACACCCCCTCACCACGGCACTGTCCCCTAATCTTCACCTGCTGCACCCTGTGGGCTTGGTCCTGTGCAGGTCAGGGTGAGGCCACTGGAGCTGTCTATCGCGGTGTTGGTGCACCACGTAGAGGGGCCCGCAGTCCCAGCAGACCCCGCTGTGGGTAAGATGAGAACTTGCGGCTGAGCGAAGGGAGGCAGTTTCACAACCCAGCCACACCCTACACAGGATTTCTCCCGGGTTCTCCTCCTGGCCTCTGCGCCTTGCCCTCAGGGGCTAGGCCCTGTGTGAGGGGAGCTGCATGGCTCTCAGCTCCCACGTTCCTTCCCCTGGCCCGAGCCCCTCCCCCCCAACACCCAGGTCCTCATGGGCAGGCTGGTTCTATAGCCTCAAGCTTCCTGCTGATATCCACCGTCACAGCCTCTAGGGGACAGGGAGAAGAGCTTTGGAGGCCTCTGGTCCATCTAGTTATGTTGGGGACAATGAAGCAGATTTGGGAGGCCTCTGAGGACTGGCAGTGACAAGGGCAGCGCCCTAGCTGTCCTGCTGCTGGCAGGTGGCGGCTCCGCGGGAGACAGCCTGGACATGGCTATGGGGTCAGACAACTCTGGGTCCATCGCCGGTTGCTGCCACCTGCCACAGCGGTCCTGTCATTTGGGCCGTTTGAATGCTGAGCCTCTGTCACGTGGGGAGACCACAGAATTTACCTTACGGTGTTGAACGAGGCTGAGACGGCACAGGGCAGATGCACATCAATGGCAACTTCCTGGTGGCCAGGCTGCCTCTCCCAGAGGACAACAGGGACAGGCTGAGGGCAAGTCAGCCCCACCGCTGCCCCCCAGCGGGTTCTCCTGGGGGTGGGCCCACTGAGGAATAGCTGGCAGGAGAGCCTCCCAGACCTTCCCTGCTGAGGCCCCCACTCAGCTGCAGAGAGAGGAGCAGGGCTGGGGGCTCCAGGGCGCCCCTGCGGAGAGGGGCTTGCTGGGGTGGTGCTCTCAGGAAGCCCCTCTTTCTGTCCCACTGGGGCTCCGCTTGCTGCTAATGGCGCTAACTTCGCGCTCAGTGGAAATCGGCACCTGCTCGGTCGGCCAGCTGCCTTGGCTGCTCTGGTGTTTTCTAAGCCCTGGATCCCCAGCCTCACCATACTTCCCACTCTGAAGGGGAGAGAAACCCCCGGGGTGCAGAAAGACCACTTGTGCAGGGCAGGGCGTGGCCATGGAGGCTGGGCTGTTTGCTAGAAGCCCAGGGATGCAGCCAGCGAAGAAATGCGGGGAACTGAGGCACAGAAGAGGTGATTGCTGTTCTGGCTTGGGGCAGGGGTGCAGAGGGCATATTGCATGGAGGGGAGCGCATTCAGCCCTCCCCACCCATACCTCGCAGATTGGGGGCGGGGGAGTGAACCGCGCTACCCTCAGCTTCCTAAGAGCCCAGGCTGCCCACAGCCTCAGCAGCTGCCTCCCACAAACTTCTCCAGCATCCAGAGGGAGAGACCCTACCCCTGAAGCGTTCCTGCACCTGCTAGAAGCTGAAAGAGCGTTCCATCTCTCCCCTCTGGGGAAGACTGCACGGCTGCTGTGCTCTGGGGACCCTGCCCCTGCTGAGCCCCAGCCCACGTGGGCATGGAGTCCAGCAGAACCCTCGACGCTGCTCTTCCTCCGCGGGCCCCCGGACAGAAGGTACCAGCAGCCCTGTTTTCTCCGCCGTTTCTGCTCTCACACAATTGCCCCTTCCGCTGGGCTCCTGTCTAGAGCCTCATCTTGGTCTCTGTCTCTGTCTCTGTCTCTCTCTCTCTCTCTCCACCCAGAGCCACCTGCATCTCATCATTCGCCAGGGGTGGCCCAAGGTCCACCCGCCGTGGACGAGGGCGAGGGTCCAGCTGTACTCACGGCATTGACAGCCAGGTCGCCACGGACCTCGGCCGGCGTGATCTCGTGGAGCAGAGCGGCCCCGGCCACGGCCCCCAGCAGCTGGGCAGCCACGTAGAAGGCAGCTCGGAGGAAGGAGACGTGGCAGCCCACCAGGCAGGCCACGGTCACGGCAGGGTTGATGTGGGCCCCGCTGACGTGGCCCAGAGCCTGCACCAGGGTGCCGATGCCCAGGCCAAAAGCCATGGCGATCTGCAATGTGGAAGGCAGCGCCGATGGCCAGTTGAGGGCTGAGCCCAGGCCGAAGAAGACAAAGAGGAGCGTGGCCAGGAACTCGGCAAACACCGCCCTGGAGAAGGCGATGGACCGAAGCTCCCACATGCTGCGGGCCCTCCACGGGTCTCCCGCCTCTGCTCCCTCTCGCTCGCTCCCTCTCGCTCGCTCCCTCTCGCTCGTTCGGGGCCTCGGGGGAGGCTGGGCCTATATAGAGTCCCTCGGCCCAGGCCTGGGCACGTGCGATGGAGGCGGAGTTTAGGCCAGCGCCTCCACTGTCCCTGCCACCCCTGCCCCACTCCCACCCCTGCCCACTGCACGCCTATCACCCCATCTTGGCCTTCACAGCTGACTAAAGTTCCCCATTAATGAACTCCAGATAAGGCTTGACGTCCCCTGATTTTCCGTGTTTGTTCCCTCAGTTACCCCAGGCCTGTCGCCGTGGGGCCTCCCCTCCCCCACGCCAAGCTGCGGATGGGAACCCCCGAAGGGGAGGTGGCTGGGGGGAGGACCCCTCTTTCTAACTCAAAGTGGTGGCTAAGGTGCAGGGCACCCCCCAACACACCCACCCCAAATTATGCGCGAGAAATGCCAGAGTCGCCCGTCTTGGGGGTGGATGCCCACCCTCCCCCCACCCTTCTGGAAGGAGATGGAAAACAACTGGTCGGCTTGGGCCAAATTTCCAAGGCAAAAATGCTTGGTGTCTGTTCTGTGCCTGCTTGCTTGTAGTTAATCGCCCGTAAGCCATTAAGCTCTCCCTCCTCCTGGAAGCCCATTCAAGGAGCAGCTCCGGCAGCCTGGAGCCAGCGGTGGCTTCGGGGGGCCTTGGGGACCCTGGCCCTGGCTGAAAGAGTCAGCGGAGGAGTGGGGGGGGGTCAGCTCAGAGCTTCTGTCCCAGCACCACCTTGCTCCGTCTCTGGACTTTGTAAAATGGAGGTGACGCCTGCCTTGGGGCCTTGGGACTCGGCGACATGAAATCCCCTATGACACGAGCACAGAGTGGCTGCGCCTGGTCACGGGTGGAGGCCAAACCCTTGTAGCAGTCGCTCAGAGTGCTGCTTACGTTCTTACGTGTTGGGTTCCCCAGACTCACATATCTGGGGCGGGGGGAGGGTGTCCCAGGAGCACTGGGGGCATCCCCCAGCCCCCAGAGCCACCCATGTCGCCGGAGGAAGACATTTCTCTGGGGTAGTGAGCTGTGGCGATCCAGGGAGGCCAGGCCGCCCAATAGGCAGCTCTCTGGCATGGGTGCCCACCCCTCCCAGGGATACCGCCTCGTACTGGGGGCCCTGCACACCACCAGGGCCTTGGAGGCCCCTCTTCCCTAATCCTTCCAGGCTCGTTCCCTCTCCTGGGGATCCAGAGGCAGCAGTGGGCTTGGGGTGGGATCCGGACAGGCTCTGGATAGTGCTGTAGCTCCTGGCCTATGCACCTCTTTACGAAGTAGAATACCTTGTCTTGTGTCCCAGCCTGAGGCCTGAGGAGTGTGAGTGACTTGGGGACGGTGGTCCAGCAAGTTAGAGGCTGAACTGGAACTGGAACTGGGTCTCGAGAGTTTCCACCACACCCTTGGACTGCTGAATCACACTCAGCCTCAGTCTTCCTATCTGGACAATGGGACTAAAGATGCCTTTCCCACAGAGTTGTTTCTGAGAATGCAAGATGCGAGCATGCACACGTGAACTTGTAACTTCTTTCCAGGAGGAAGAGGAGGAGGAGGGTGAGGAAGAAGAAAACGAGGCCCAACCGAAGGAGAGTCCTGAAAGGGCAGGAGCTCTTGTGGGCGTGTTCTCGGCTGTGTTTCCAGTACCTGAAACAGCAGTGCCACATGGGGACCTGGCCCTGGTCCCAGAGGCTCGGGGAGAGAGACTCAGAACAAGTGTGTGTGTGTGCAGCTGGGGGGCAAAATCCTGTCATGTGAAAGGCATCCGAGGGTCTGGCGCTGTGGTGTAGCGGGTAAAGCCGCCGCCTGCAGTCCTGGCATCCCATATGGGCACTGGTTCAAGTCCTGGCTGCTCCACTTCTAATCCAGCTCTCTGCTATGGCCTGGGAAAGCAGTGGAAGATGGCCCAAGTCCTTGGGCCCCTGAACCCATGTGGGAGACCTGGAGGAAGCTCCTGGCTCCTGGCTCCGGATCGGTGCAGCTCCAGCCATTGTAGCTATTTCGGGAGTGAACCAGCGGATGGAAGACCTCTCTCCCTCTCTCCCTCTCTGTGTCTCCCTCTCTCCCTCTCTCCCTCTCTGTGTCTCCCTCTCTGTAACTCTGCCTTTCAAGTAAATAAATCATTTTAAAAATGCTTTCTTGAAGTTGGAGGCAGAGTCATGTGGATGCACTGAGTTCCATTGAACCATACATTCAAAAATGGTTATGGGAGTGGGGAATAGGGTGCTGTGGCTTAGTAGGCTAAGCCTCTGCCTGCGGTGCTGGCATCCCATATGGGTGCCTGTTCATGTCCCAGATGCTCCTCTTCCAGTCCAGCTCTCTGCTATGGCCTGGGAAAGCAGTAGAAGATGGCCCAGGTGTTTGGGCCCCTGCACCCACATCCACATGAGGGATCCAGAAGAGGCTCATGGCTCCTGGCTTCGGATTGGCTCAGCTCTGGCTGGTGCGGCCACTTGGGAAGTGAACCAGCAGAGGGAAGATCTTTCTGTTTCTCCCTCTCTCTGTCTATAGCTCTGCCTCTCAAATAAATAAATAAATAAAATCTTTTAAAAAATGGTTACAGGGGAGGGGAGTGGCATCGTGGTGCAGCAGATTAAACCGCTGCCTGTGACTGTAACATCCTATATGGGAGCACAGGTTTGAGTCCCAGCTGCTCCACTTCTGATGCAGCTTCCTGCTGATATGCCCAGGAAAGCAGTGGAGGATGGCTCAAGCATTTGGGCCCTTCCTATTTTCAATATGTCTTTCAAATAAATAAAATAAATTTAAAAAACCAGTTACAGGGTACAGGTTTGGCCTGGCAGTTAAGATACTGGTTAAGATGCTCGTGTCCCACTTGGATTCGTTTGCCAGCTCTGACTGCTGACTCTGGCTTCCTGCTCAAGCAGCCGGTCCCTGCTCCCCACATGGGAGACATGGATGGGGTTCCTGGCTCCTGGCTGCAGCCCAGCCCAGCTCTGGTCATATCTGGGGAGTGAACGAGCAGATTGCAACTTTCTCTTTGTCTCTCTCTGTCTCTGAGTGTCGCTCTGCTTCTCATACAAATGAATTTAAAAAAAATTAAAGTGGGGCCGGCGCCACGGCACACCGGGTTCTAGTCCCGGTTGGGGCGCCGGATTCTGTCCCGGTTGCCCCTCTTCCAGGCCAGCTCTCTGCTGTGGCCAGGGAGTGCAGTGGAGGATGGCCCAGGTGCTTGGGCCCTGCACCCCATGGGAGACCAGGAAAAGCACCTGGCTCCTGGCTCCTGCCATCGGATCAGCGCGGTGCGCCGGCCACAGTGCGCTGGCTGCGGCGGCCATTGGAGGGTGAACCAACAGCAAAGGAAGACCTTTCTCTCTGTCTCTCTCTCTCACTGTCCACTCTGCCTGTCAAAAAAAAAAAAATTAAAGTGGTTAAGATGGCATGTTTTATGGTGTGTGTATTTTACCATAATTAAAATATGTAATGTTTTAAAAATTAAGAAAAGGAAAAGGGAAACAGCATAGGTGTGTGGCAGGTAAAGCTGTCACCTGTGACCCTGGCATCCCATATGAGTGCCGGTTCACGTCCCAGCTGCTCCACTTCCTATCCAGCTCCCTGATAATGGCCTGGGAAAAGCAGCAGAAGATGACCCAATGGGGGCTGGAGCTGTGGTGTAGCAGGTAAAGCCGGCGCCTGCAGTGCCGGCATCCCATGTGGATGCCGGTTCGAGTCCCGGCTGCTCCACTTCTGATCCAGCTCTCTGCTATGGCCTGGGAAAGCAGTGGAAGATGGCCCAAGTCCTTGGGCCTCTGCCCCAGTGTGGAAGACCCAGAAGAAGCTCCTGGCTCTTGGCTTCGGGTCAACTCAGCTCCGGCCATTGCGGCTATTTGGGGAGTGAACCAGCGGATGGAAGACCTCTCTCTCTCTCTGCTTCTCTCTGTCTGTAACTCTGCCTTTCAAATAAATAAATCTTTAAAAAAAATAGAAGAACAAGATGGCCCAAGTCCTTGGGCTCCTCCTTCCCATGTGAGAGACCCGGATGAAGCTCCTGGCTCTCGGCTTCAACCTGGCCCAGCCCCCCCTTTGCAGCCATCTGGTGATCGTGAACCAGAAGATGGACAGACTCTCCCTGTCTTCCCTTTCTCTCTGTATCTCTGACTTTCAAGTAAATAAATAATGAAAAAAAAAAAAAAGAAAGGGAAAACTACCATAAAATACCTTTGTTATCATTTGGGCAAGAAGTCTTTTAGATTTACTTGGATGTCAGCTTCGAAAGTCAAGATCACTCTGTGCACGCAGACGCAAGGAACTCACAGAGGAACAAACGGGCAGTGAGCGCTTGGGCCCGGATCTCCTCACATTGGCGAGCCCAGCTCTCCCGAGCCCTCTGCAACGCGGAGGTGGCGGGGGGGGGGGGGGCTTCTTCCGTCTTTGCAAGCTGGCTTGCTCCTTGCAGGTTTCTCTCCGAGCCTCAGATGCCCGCTGGGTGAGCTTTCTGGCAGGTGCTCTCTTGCTCCACAGGGCGACGGCACTCGTCTTGCCCTTTTCTGTAATAAAACAACACGGTGCCCACTCTTCTTCGGGTCTCATCAAAACATCGGGCAGCTGTTTTGCAAGAATATATACGAACTGTCATTGCTTAATGCTAGCTGCTTCCCCAAGCCCGATTCCTGCTCTGCACCTTTGCAGACACGCAGCCTTGTGTAAATGCCAAACCGCAGTGTAGCCTTTTTGAGGACATTTTAAACAGCAATTAAACTGAACACACGCCGGAAAGAGAGGGCAGGGAACTCCCTTGACAAAGTTTAGGTAGGCACAGGCTTTGGAGGCCTCCCCCAGCTGCCGTAGGAAATGAAACAAGGAGAAAATCTCAAGCGCACCTTAGAATGGCTGAAATACAGCAGTTAGACCATGAAACAGGTATTCAGCGTCTGCTCCGCCACGCGGCGTTTTGGCCGCACTCGCCTGTGTTAGCTCTCGAATCCTCGCAGCTAAATGGCATCATCCAGGATTTTCCAGATGAGGAGACAGGGAGCTCAGAGAGGTTGAGTTACTTTCCCGAGGCCACATAGC